GGCGTGACACGGGCGCTGAGCGATGCGTGCGTTGAGAACGTCCGGCCTCGTAAAACTTTTGTGTTGCCGTGGGAACTTCAAAGAGCGCGCATAGTGCAAAATTAGTTACTACCCCATAAAAGTTTTTAATTACAGCGGTTTCTCCCTGTGACACGAGTCGAAGTTGTGTCCTTGTTTCAGTTATAAATACCAATATTCCGTTTATACCCAGACCATAACATTTATCTCTGGCCTGATTTTAAGTCTTCAGTCCATATGCACAGTTTTACAGTTCAATTACATGTTTTTCCTATTAGAGTGGGAGAAATAGTACTTTAACGCATTTGAGTGCTTTTCCCTTTCTCCTTGAATCAAGACAAACTTTGGGGGAATCTTCTTTCTCCAGCAAGAGCGTGCTCTTCGTTAAGTCTGTTCTGCAAGCTGGCTATCGGAGTTAATATTGAATTTGAGAAGCTAACAATATAACTCTGGAAAGCTAGGGCTTTAGGCTGTGTCTGGCGATCGCTCCTTGTCATCACCTTCTTAGCATGCTTTTCGGCTGTCGTGGAGCCACTTCCAAATAACCGTGGCCACCATAAAGCTCCTGTATGAGTCCGAAAAGGCACCAACCATTTTCCAGCTAAATTGCCTGCTTAAAAATGTCCGCATTTGCATTACAAGCGAACTTGCGGTTTCACAGCTCTTGTTGTTTGTTTTCCTCTATAGTTGTTACAGTTTAGAAGGTCTGTTCAACAGAAGGGCTTCAGATCGCACGTTAAAAGCCCTTACACAGTGGCAGGCCTGCGTTCATTGCCAAACTCTCACCCCGGTGCAGGGGTTGAACCCACAACTGTCCCGAGCAAGGGAATCACACCTCCTTTAAGCCGAGCTTGTCGGGGGAGCAGGGGCTTTGCAGGTGTTTGCTGTTGCGTGTTTGCGTCCCTTTGGGGCACGGGGTTTCGCTGACCGGCTTTGGCTCGGAGTATCTGAGATCGCGGGCTAGAAGTTTATCATGAAGCAGCTGTTTTGGCAAATGGTTTGGAACAGTCGTTTTGAGAAGTCGTACCAGCAGTATTAGATAAAAACTTACTTTTGCTCGGCGAAAGCTCCCGAGGTCCATCATGAAGGCCAGTGGTGCCTTGGTGGTGCAGTGAGGGCTGTGCAGAGGCCCCTGGGTCGCTCCCCCTTTGCGGGCAGGGTCCGTGTCTCCCGCTGCCTTCCCACCGTCCTGTCCGCTCACCGCTCGCCGATGGGCACCTTACAGGCGGTCTCGAGCAACCAGATTTGGGTAATCTACTAAATTGACCAAAACAAAGCTGGTATGTTAATTTTAAGCTCCGAAGGCTTGTCAGGATGCCTTCAGAGGAGTGCAGTTGTTGCCAAAAAGGGAAATAAAATATGCCACATAGGTGGGAAGTACTTCATGGCAAAGAGCAACACTTAAGAGACTTAATTTTCTCTTCAGCAAGAATGAATGTTGTCCTTTATTCTTTTGAATGTAGTCATAACGGCAATTTGCGCTCTTAATTTATGACTGAAAATCCACTTTTTGCAGTATTTGGTGAACATTTTGTTTAAAAGTGCAGTAATTAAATATTAACGTGCTGTTCTAAAGTGCTTTTTTTTATTTGGCACGTTCTTGGAAAATCAAAAGGGGTTTCCAGATGAACAGCAGCGTGCTAATCAATTCTCATTGATTGTTACTTTTACACTATTAATGAATTTGCTCTTCAATTAATACGTGTTATGTCTTTTACTTTGCTGTAGCATAGAAAATGTAATAATATGTCATGTCATGGCTATAAGACAGTATTTAAGTAGTAAACCGCACTGGGAGGATGTTGTAAGCTGTTTTTTGCTAAACAGTAGTTTTCCCAGGCTGTATTGATGCCAATAACACTTCTGCTTCCCAGAAAATACTATAATTCAAATAGTGAAAGCTGAGTACAAACTCCAGCAGAAATTTTAAGAAAACATACCAGTCCATGGCATAAACAAAACTCACGCCTGTTTGGTGAGCTTTTTCTGGAACATTTTGGGATGATCAGCCCAACTTAACTCAAGGTGTTGTTACCGCTGACTAACGTAGTTACCCCAAACACATGACGCTAACGACTTTGAACCACAGCCCCATCTCCTGTTTTGCTTTATCCGTGCATTTATTTGTATGCTCTATGTGTAGTTTTACTTGTCCAGACTCAAGGATGTGGATTCTCCAGTGCCTGACAGCTTTGTATTTGCTTACACCAGACAAAAAGAGATGGCGAATCTCAGTTAGAGGTGGTTTATGTGCCTCTCGTACAGCAGAAAACATACTGCATGTGACGGAAAGCAGTAAGTGAGCAGACCGACGGACGTAACTGGAGTGCCAGAACTAGTTCTGCATTACAGGCATTCGTGTTGTTATTTGCATTATTTCACAAATCTAGATCAAAACTCAGCCGGGTCCTTAGCTCTTTAGGCACAGCGACAGCCCTGGTGAAGATCACTTACTAAAGGCTCTCCTCATGT